TCGTTATGTCACATGTGGACACTGGCTGTCAGAAAACAGCATCTCGCCCTTTAGAACCACTGACTGTGACACGAGTAGATTTACAGGATGTGGATGAACTGACTCCAATACATAATTTCTGGGAGGATTTGGCTCATCTTGACTTATATCTTATATCTTCCCCCTGCCACAGTTTTAGAAACATTGTGAAATAAGTAGAAAATAGCCATGCAATCTCTTCTGTGGCCTCTTCTCTACTGGAGGTGAGTATATATATACACATATATATATATTTATTCTACATTTATGACGTTTTTTGCATCAGATTCCACGTTTACCAGCAGAAACTGATGGGATTTCTTGGATAGCTACCTAACCCTATAATGCCAAATGTATCATATCTGATTCATACGGTTTCTTAAATGTTTTGCGTCTGTCTCCTTTTACATAATTTAATGGTAAAAACTTTGCTCAAAATCCTATTGTACACAATCAGATACACCTGATAACAGGGGGCAGAAGACTACAGAAAAAACAATCTTGAATTATCGCATAGTAATAAATTATTAATATCAAAATTGTATTTTTCTTCTTTCTTTTTACATATTTTGTTAAAAGGCCAAATAAGGAATTCAAACCAAAAAAAAGTAATTTTCTGTTTTGTTTTATTCTTGGATCAGGCTTTAAAGGGTTAAATACTCTCCCTGTTTCTTTCTCAATGTTACGATGCACCAGTTAGTTTTTTCTTTTTACATATTTTGTTAAAAGGCCAAATAAAAACTTCAAACAAAAAAAAAGTAATTTTCTGTTTTCTTTTATTCTTGGATCAGGCTTTAAAGGGATAAAGTGTTAAGTTCCCTGAAAATCAGGCATTTGTCTGTCCTCGTTTTAACCCTGACCTGCTTTATTTCCAGACTTTACTATTATTTCCACCTCACGACACAGTGAAGATGCAACATTGACAACTCTTCCTCCTGGAAACCCCAAGAAAGAAGCCTCCCCCATCACCCCCACTCCATTAAACACCCCCCCACCAGGTGACCATCTGGATTTCATTACTTTGGGGTTGAAAATAAAAGCACTTTTCTCTCAGAGTCGGAGGACGTGGCGCAGATATGTGGAGTTTAATAATTCAGCGTGGTCTAAAAGTCGTAGTGGGAGAGATGGATATTTTTTTCCCTGTGTGGTGTGGATGTTGTATGAATGAGGGCAGGTGCAGAAGACAAAAAACACGCCTCAGGTATGAGAGGTGTTGGAGGAATGGTGGCAGAAAAGCATGGGATGGAATAAAGCAGTGTTTTTCAACCACTGGTCCTCGGTACACTAGTGTGCCGTTAGTGATGGTCAGGTGTGCCGTAGAAAATCATCCTATTTCACCTAAATGGTCTAAAAAGACTTTTTGATAAGGAATTAATTATCTGCAATTTATTTCTGAGTGTCTGTGCTGTTCTAGTGACTGGTGGAGTAATCATGTAATAATTCCTTATGACTAGATTTTGTATTTAATTTTGCATATTGAAGTGGACATGTTAAGTGCAATTTGAAAGAAGAAATATAAAATATGATAAAAATAAATAAATTTGATTCAAGACACTTAAAATAAAATAAGAATAACTATAGTGTTACTATAGGCGGCTACAGATTTGTTTGACATTTTTGGTCGGTGGTGTTCCTCGTGATTTTTTTCAATGACAAAATGTACCTTGGCTCAAAAAAGGTTGAAAAACACTGGAATAAAGGAATAAAACCCCGTAAAAAAAGGCCCGAAAAGGCATTTGGGGCTAAGAAGACTCTCTTTTTTACCAAAAAACATGAATTAAGCATCGGACGGTACAACTTAAGGCGCTTCTCCCTAAACAGGCCTGGCAGAAACATGGATTCTCAGCCTTTTTCCCCTTAAACCGCCTCACTAATAAGACTCCTGAAGTCACACCGGGAGCACGGCGTTTGTCAGATGGCGACACCAGCAACAGCAAAAGCACATTAGCCCCCCCCCCCCGTTTTTATTCAGCCGTCCCTTTTTAGGCAGCTCCTGCCTCCGTGGATTAGACTCAGAGAAGCTCTTCCCGTGGCTAATAAGACAGCGGAGGAGAGTTGTTTTGATTTGTTTCTGTGTTGAAATGAGGAGATACTGACAGTTGTGACAAGTTTCAAAGAGGACATGCATTGTTCTGATGGCTGCTTCTGTTTATTTGGGATTATATACAGCCTCGGGTGGAGGGGGAGTCCAGTGTGTGCATGTGTGTGTGTGTGTGTGTGTGTGTGTGTGTGTGTGTGTGTGTGTGTGGACTGTCACCTGTGATTCACGGATTTGGATAATATTTATATCCTTTTTACCAGAGACTGTCGACTTTAACCAAAGGCAGAATGCTACGAGCTACGAGCTAATCTGTTTATTTTACATATGTCAGCACTTTGTGCTCATCCTTACTGTTTATAATGTCCTTCAAATTCAAATGGAAGTAAACTTATTGATTTCATAGGGGATCCATCTCTGACTCTGTCCTCCACCTGTTAGCTGTGCTGTGTTAATAAAGATGCTCCAACCAAATATTGCATCTGAATCCTTTTAGGGTTACATTTAACCTCCCCTTTTACTATAATTATGTATGTAAAGTATGTATGCATGTATGTATTCATGTCTGTCTGTCTATCTGTTTCTCTCTGGTGATTATGATTGATCGTTTTTAAATTCACAATTTCAATACATATATATATGTATTGAATTTGTGAATTTAAAAACGATTAATCAAAATCAGTTAAACGTAAATGTTTGTGCTCTTTATCCAGAAAACCACATCTACTTTTCAGGATCTGGTTATTATGGACACAGATTACATGTTAAACTTCAAAATTTCAGTATTTATATTACAGTAACAGAGTTACACGCATTAGTAGCTGAAAACACTCAGTATTAAAAGTACAGACGCTGGTTTGGTGCTTCCTTATATCCTAAACATCAGGAGGAAAAGTGTATAAATATAATCTCGCGGAGATTCAGAAAACAGTGTTTATTGTAACAAAAAACGGGTTCAAAAACAGGGCTGTGGCAAACCTATGAGCAAAGTAACAAAGCAAGGTTAACAAAACTGTGGCAAAGTATCAAAACAAGACTGTGGCAAAACAAGATTAACATGGCAGTGGTCAAAACAAGGCTATGGCAAAGTAACAAAATAAAGATTAACAAAACTGTGGCAAGGCTGTGGCAAAACATGGCTATGGGAAATAATCAAAACCTTCTCGCACAGGACATGGGAAACGAGGACTATTTAAACACATGAGGGAGGGGAACCCCAGGTGTAAACAATAGGTAATCAACACATGACGAGACACCAGACATTCCCCCAGACGTGACAATTTGAATTAATTCAATTATCATCCTTTAAAAATTGCTCAAGTAAAATTAAACCATGTTTCCAAGCCAGTCACAATAAAGATTAAGATGAGGCTTTGAAGTGAAGTTGTGTGAAGACCCCTTTATGTAGAAATGTAATATTGTATCTACTCTGTAAGTCGCTTTGGATAAAAGCGTCTGCCCAATGCATAAACATAAACATAAACATAAACATAAACATAAACATAAACATAAACTTGTGTATAAATCTGTCTAAAAGAAGTCCTCAGTACTCAACAAGTCTTGGCGTGCAGCATCAGGACCACTGCCCCCCCCCCGTTGTGTCTCCATCCTTCTCCTTTTTATCGTTTCTCAGAACAACAGGGGCTCAGCTTTGCCTCCTGAATGACTCAGTTTGATTACGTCAAACCGAGCGTGTAAATCCAGGCGCTAAAATTAAACCTGATCACCGCAGACCGGAGTCTGGAGCCGGTTACCGGAGGGAAAAACCGGCGCAGTGCTGCGGGTTAGTGGCCGGGAAAGGCACGGCAAGCAAACGGAAATCCCGCATATAACCGCGTTAACAGACTGAAGTAATCCGATAAAAAAAGCGATACGACTAATAGAATCGTTGCGTAAAAAACGGGACCAAATTGGGATACTGCACGTGTATTTTCTTTATGCAATGTTTTTACCTACATGTTTGCGTTAGGTTTTTTTTTCTCAACTTGGTATGATTTGAGTTCATCTGCTGACATAAACTGGATCCTGGTATGCAAACTTCATCATCCAAAACCGACTGGGCAAACTACCGCAATCATACTGAAGTTTATGTGGCTTTTTGTATGTGGCTTTTGGATTTGAGTGTGGATTGTTTATGTTGTTCGATGTTTTTTTTTTATACAGCTTTTAGCCCTATAATGCCAAATGTGTCATATTTGATTTATACGGTTTCTGAAGTCTTTTGGATCTGAGACTTTTTGCATCATTCAGTGGTAAAAGCTTTGCTCAAACCCCTGTTGAACACATTCAGATATACCTGATAACAGCCAGTAGAAGACTACACCAACATATATTTTTGACTTATTGCACGCTAATTTGATCAAAAATAATTTCTGTTTTTTTTTCTTCATATGTTGCTGAGGGGCCAAAGAAAGACTTCAGACTAAAAAAAATCCAATATTCTTCCTATTTTTCAGATATTAATATATTACAATATTTTCAGATATACCTGATAACAGCCAGTAGAAGACTACACCAACATATATTTTTGACTTATAGCACGCTAATTTGATCAATATGATATCAAATTATGGGATTTAAACAAGCCTGGGGATGGAAAAAAGACCATTAAACCACATGAGTCCGGTCTTTATTTTTATTTATTATTTTTACGCGTTAGATAGGCTCCATGTTGAACTCTTTCCCACAGCTTCTGGATCCCTCCCCG